GCAGTTGCTACAGATGAAGTTCAACAGGTTATGGGCGCCCAATCCGCTAAAGCGAAACCTCCGACAATGCTGAATGGGACGTTTGGGTCCTATGGATCAGTGGGTCCTATGATGATGGACAGCGAGGTGAGAGGACCGCCACCGGTTTCTGAATCGCAGAGAGGAAGCGCATCTGGGGAGGCTGGAAGGGCCGAACAAGGGCCTGGAGTGGCGTCGCTACGAGCGGCAGCTGGAAGGGTCATGGCGACCGTGGCTGCAAAGGTTCAAGGGGCGATACCACCCTCTAGCAAGACTGGGAGTGCGTCAGCTTTTCTGGGACAGGACGATGGTGGGTCAGCTGGGACCTTAGGGTCGGGATATGTGACGGCTGGTTCGGAGAATCCGCGAGAATATCCATCCTCCAGCGGCGCGCAAGAGGCAGCGGAGCCGGGTCTGTTTTCCCCACAGCAAGCAAGAAGGCTGCGGGAGATGCAGAGCGAAGCACCTCTGTTGTATGCTGGTGAGGAGTCTGGTTTGCAACCGCCAAGTCCTTCGCCTCCTCTACCTCACTCGACGAGTTCAGGTTCTGACCAAGCTGAGGCCATTCAAGCTGAAGTGAAGAGACAGATGCAAACTTTCATGGTTGTACAGGCAGAGCTTCAGCAGAGAGTAGCAGTGTTAGTGGAAGAGAACCAAGTGTTGCGGCAGGTAGCTTCTTCTAGTGTAGCGGCACCAGAAGGACAGGGTTCGCAGCAAGGGAAGGGTGGTTGGTTCAGTGGGATCAGAAAGAACTTGATGGGTTTTGTTCAGCAGGTACCTGAAGTCTGCGTCGATCCCTCTGGCCATACCTGAGGGGTGGGCCATGCCTACTGGTTTCTTTACCTCTCCCCCTCCCCCTCACGGGTCTTCTTCCGCCGGCAACCCAGGTTTGGATGTTACACATCAGGCAGGTGAGATCCAGCCTGCTACTCCGATTGTGCATTCGGCAGGTCAGAACCCAGGCCCATATGGTTTAGTCCAGCCCCAAGTAACCCAGGCTCACTACGGGAATCAAGGGCATCCTAAGCAACAATGGCAGTCTCTTGCAGCTCTTCAAGGCTGGCAACGTCCTCCAAGCTTAGGGGTACCCTTAACCGCCCCATGTGACCCTAAAGCCCAAGGCACAGGCGCAGGTTGCTCAGCAAGTGCAGCCCAAGGCGTAGGTGCAGGCAGTGAAGGTTTTGCCCAAGGCACAGGCGCAGGTGGCACAACAAGTGCAGCTCAAGATGCAGGTGCAGGCAATGCAAGTTTCGCCCAAGGCACAGGTGCAGGTGGCACAGTAGGTGCAGCACAAGGCCCAGGTGCAGGCGACGCAGGTTCAGCCCAAGGCGCAGGTGTAGGTGGCCCAGCTAGTGCATTCCAGGGCCTCGGTGCAGGCAGAGCTGTCTCGAGCCTAGATCAACATGCATCTCAGGGAGGTCCATGTGGTGGATTGCAAAGGGTTGAGGCTCCAAGGAACCCTCTTGAGGCTATGATGTCAGGGATTGTTCAGCTCCAAAATGTGGTTGCCGATCTTGCTGTGAACAAGCATGGCGGTGGATCGGTAGGATCAAGCGCCAGTCCCGAGGTTGTGAGGCCAGGAGTCACCGAACTCGTGAAGTTGCCTCCTCCAACGCTTGAGGGGGCATTGGGGTTTTCAGATTGGATCCATGCGGTGAAGCCTTCCATGAGTGATCTATCCGATACGTCAGGTGAGTGTTGGGAAAAGGTGCTTCAGGAGGCTCGCGATTGGTACAACAACCAGTTTGTGCCCGCCAACCCCATAAGCAGAGTGAGGCTTAGGGTTCCAACTTCAAGTATCGATGCGGAACCACGATGGGCTCGTGTACGCCACAGAATGGAGCACCTCATCATTCAGAGTTGCCCTGATGCTGTGAAGTCTGAATTGTCGTCCGCCAGAATCAGCGGAGTCATGGGTATACTTTGCAGACTTCATGTGGTGTATAAGCCAGGAGGAGTAGCAGAGCGTGCGGAAGCACTCAGACAGGTCCAAAGCCCCCGTCCTGCAGATTCGCCAATCGATGCTGTTCTTCGCTTGAGGACGTGGAAGCGGTGGATGACGAGGCTCACGGACCTAGGCGGAGCTTCTCCTGATGCAGCGCTGTGTGTACAAGCACTTGAAGCGATCACTAGCAACGTACTTCGTTCCATGCCAAGCCTGTCTTTCAGAATCAACCTTGTGCGAGCCTCCCTTCATCTGGACACCCAACCCACTACCACAAAAGTGGGGGGAGTACTATGAGCATCTACTTGTGGAGTTGGAGGCCGTGTCAAGGGTGTCAGAGGCTCAACCAAGTGTGGCTCCAAGTGCCAAGGCTGATGCAACCAAGAGCGTTCGTCAGGTGGATGCCAGGCAACAAGGTGGGGGTGACTCTACTCCGGGTTCTAAAGATACGAAGGGCGCAAAGGCTGGAGGTGTGCAAGGGTCTTCGGATTCTCCAAAGAAGCTGTGCAAGTGGTTCCATGAAGGAAAGGGATGTAGGAGAGGCAAGGAGTGTCGTTTCTTGCATGATTGGGGCCAGATTCCAAAACCCGACCGCCTCGAACGTTGCATGGCTTGTGGAGGAAAGGGACATAGGAAGGATGCCTGCCCCAATAGTCCAGCAGGGGCCATAGCCAAGCGAGATGATGGAGCAAGCTCGGCGAAGGCTGCAAAGGCTGAAGGTCACGCCAAGGCTAAGGGTGCAGATCCTGGTTTGAAGAAGGTGCTTTCAGAGGCAGCTGGAGTTCTGAGGGATGTGTTGTCGACCCAGTCCGCAAATGCCGAAGGCACCACGCCAGCATCTGCAGATCAGACTCGCAGCCAAGCCACTGCAGTCTCCAGTGACCACCCTGGTTTGGGTGGTGAGTCCCCCATTGCAGCCGCCGCCAAGATACAGGCACAGCTTGAAACCCTTGAGTCGCGTCTCTTGGATCAAGGGCCCCATATTCGTGCTGTTCATGTAGGTCCAGAGACTCAGGAGGAGCCCACGGCGTTGTTGGACTCAGGGGCAACCCATGCTGTACTTGATGCCTCTTCAGTGTGTGGTGCTGACCTCATCCCATGCACTGTGTCGCTTGCTGGTGACCAAAGGCAAGTCTGGCATCAAACACCTGGGGGTTCGTTGGTGGCTCCCGGGAACAAGGAAGGAAGTGTGTCTCAAACCATACTCCCGTTAGGATGCCTCATAGAACAGCTTGGATGCTCAGTTCGTTGGTCTCGCAAATCTGGCCTTCATTTGGTTCACCCTCGATTGGGAAGACTGAAAACAAGCTTGAAAAAGGGATGCCCTCAGCTTGGGAAGGAGCAAGCATTGCAGCTGGTCAAGGAACTTGAAGGAGCCAGACTCAAGGAACTTTCTGGGAGGTTGCGAAGGGTTCAAGCACAGTTGAAAGTAGCCTCTGGGGTGCGGTTTGAAGAGGCCCTTGATGCATTTGTCTCCAGTGGAAGCAGTTGCAGCGCGTTCGCATTTGCCCGCTTTGTGCCGTTTTTGAGCGGCCTTCCAGCCCGTATCTCAGACCGCTTGGTTGTGGATTTGCAAGACACGGTTGGATGGGAGACACTGAAGGGCTTGCCCTTCAATCGGGCGATGAGGAAGAAGTTGCATCAATCGCATGCGTGGGTGTTGCACATTGGGGCAAACAAGCCTGACCCAACCTTAAGGCAGTGTTGCAAGGCTCAGCATCTTGATCTGGTGGTGCTCGACCACTCGTCGGGTAGTATTTTGGAGCCAGGAGTGTGGAAGGCGTTGTCGTGGGCAGCGTTCACAGGTCGCATTGCAGGGATCCTCTGTGATGCCCCCATGAGAACATGGAGCACAGTGAAGGTTCATGGAGCATCCCAAGTTCAGCTCCGAAGCAAGGAACATTTGTGGGGCGAGCCTAGCAACAGTGATGAAATGCAATCCAAGGTTGATGACGACACCACGCTGGGGGTTCAGCCCATGTGGCTATGGACTCTAGCTTCACTTGCAAGGGGTGAAGGTGTTCCTTTTTGTCAGACTCACGTGCTTCAAAGCGAGTCGCGCTCAACACCCTGGTTGAGGGCTGTAGTGAGTCCGTTTGCAGAATGGAGCAATAGCACTGAGTTTGCGATTCCAGGTGTGCATGAAGGCGTGAGGCAGACAAAGCCATTCCATGTGTGCACCAATCTGGGTTTTTCCACCACAGGTGTCAAGTCCCCACCGGCGGTTCCATGTGCTGAAGGAGTGCCTCTGGACCCAGAGTGGCCCAACGTCTTCAAAGGCGAGCTGAGTTTGGCCTTGTTTGGATTGGCAGGACCTCAGCAGATTGAGGAGGAGCCCGTGTCGGTGAAAGTGGTGGAAGCAGAGGGTTCATACCTGTTGACGGATCCCAATAGGCCTCCAGGTCCCGTGTCGTTCAAACCTCCTGAGCCAGGAGTTCAGGCTGTGCATGCAGAACAATCAATTGAAGGATCGCCTGACGGTCTTGTTAGCGACCCACCTGAGCCGTTACGTCCAGGAGGAGTGGATGAAGGAGAGCATGTGGATAACAGTGCAGGTGTAGGTGTCGAGGTGTCATCCGCTTCTGCAGGTGCAAAGGAAGGTGCCAAGGCCAGGAATGCAGGTGCAGCATCGCGAATGACAGAGTCTGAACGTGAACGGTGGCATAAGCATATTGCTGCCCACCACATTCCGTTTAGAAAGGACTGCCTACAATGTGTGATGTCTGGTGCATTGGGGCTACAGCACCGTCGTGTCAAATGCCCTACCATGTACGCTTTGGCCTTTGATTTGGCGGGGCCGTTCAAAGAGCTAGGCAGGGACGACCGTGGAGGAAAGTACAAGTATGTTCTTGTTGCGGGTCTGCGAGTTCCGGAAGCTGCTCTGCCATCACCAAAGCACAGCAAGGGCACGGTAGAGGTTAAGACAAAGGCATCAGAGGCTCAGGCAGAGATCCCAGGTGGCAATGAGCAAGATGATGATGCAGAGTCAGAAGCCAGTTGGCTGAGGGATCAGCTCGCGCCAACACCCGCAGTGATGAAGGTCGGTGATGATGGTGACTCATCTCAGGAGGAGGATGAATGCTCCGAAGCGGATTGGTACGAAGCCCCGTTTGTGGACGATGTTGCTCCCTCAGAGGCCGAAGCCATTGTAGAAGTTGATGATGGGCTTGAAGTTGAGGGCGGGGTTGGTCTGGATGTTGATCCTTGGGAGGACACCGGGGGTTTCGGGGAGATGACAGATGAGAAGTTTGATGAAGCCCTCGCAGAGATGCTGTTCTCAGGTGCCAACAAGGTATTGAGGTTTGCAGTGCCTTTGAAGGCAAGGAAAGGTCCACTCATCCTTGCAGGCCTACAGGAAGTTGTCACCGAGTGCAATCGTCTCGGATACCCCGTGAAGATCGTACACACCGACCGTGCTAAGGAGTTGATGTCCAAGGCCACCATGGATTGGCTGCAGTCCAATCTCATCCAACCTTCCTTTACTCAGGGAGACGACCCGAAGTCTAATGGTTTAGCCGAAAGACTAGTAGGTTGGGTGAAGGCTAGAGCGAGGTTGCACTTGGCTTCGTCAGGACTTGGTGTGGAACAGTGGCCGTCGGCAATGGCCTTTGCGTGTGCAGAGCATCGTAGTCGCTTGTTGCAAACGGGTGAAAAACTACCTAGGTTTGGACAAAAGGTGATTTTCAAGAGCAGGCACCCAACAGGCAAGTCCAAGAGGCCATCTCTACGCTGGGAAAATGCTGCGTACCTCTGCCCAACACCGCGAACGGAGGGAGGACATGTGTTGCTTCGTGCAGCTTCGAGCGCATACCTTGTTGCCAAGAATGTGCGATGTGTGGAAGATATGGTAGATCCCGAGGCTGAGTTCGGGAATGAAGAGGTCGTAGAAGTTGATCCACCAGAGCCTGGCTTCGACCACTCCCAAGGTGGATCCCCAACTGTGCCAAGCAGACGTGTGACAGGCAAGAGGGCGGTGCGTTCTGTGCAGTTGGCTTCGGAAGGGTTCGCCGAGAACTTGTTGCAGGAACAGCTTTTTACCTCCGATCATTGTGGGCGTCTGCTGCAGCTAGCGTTTGGTGGAGTTGAAGGGGGCACTCGAAGAGAGCATAGGGGTCCGATTGGGTTCTCGGTTATTTTTGGTGCGTATAGCCACGGTGGCTTGCAAGGAATAACCAGAGCTAGTCGAATGTATCCAATGGTGTGCCGGTACTTGAACGAGTATTTGCGCCGATGCTCCCCCAATGAGCTTGCTGAAAATGAGTGGTCGTCCCTCATGGTTGTGGTTGCAGATGAGGTTGCTATGCATCGTGACGTGAGGAATGAACCGGGTTCCTTGAATCATGTTACGCAACTGACTACAAGAATGATGTGGGTTGAAGGTGCTTCTCCTGTGCTCACGGAGTCCGTGCAAAGGGACAATCAAGGCCGCAGTCATCAGGGATATCTGCTACCCCTGACGCAAGCCACTACTGTGTTTGATCCTAAGTGCCGCCACGCAGTGCTCCCAGCCACGAATTGGGTGATTGCGGGATACACTCCATTGGGGTATAGGAAGCTCACCTCCTTCAAGCAGCACCAGTTGATTGAGCTAGGGTTTAGGTTGCCTTCCCTGGACCGCACTCCCATGGTGTGTAAGTTGGTTGGACCTTGCCCTACAAGGTTGCCCGGTTTCCGTGCAAGACCCTACCCTCCACCTCCAGGCAGAGCAGCAATGATGGTGAGGTATGCAAGGATGACTGGTGAGGAGTGGGCTGAGCTGCGTCAGCTCGAGGAGGAAGAGTTTGAGCGTAGGATGGGTCGATGGCAGCGTGTGCTTGGTGGTCAGGATGAAGACCCAAACATGAACTCGTTGTCAGCCTCGATCCCTCATCATCTGTTCATGCAGACGGTGTTCCGACAAAGGAATTGGCACAGAAACCCAGAGTTGGTTGTACCGGGAGCTCAGGGAGAGCCACGCCTGCTTGCACGTGTCATGGACTTTGCAGACGATGGCCCAACGGAAGAGTCTCCGTTCCCTGATCGCATGCTCATGTTTTCGGTGCATGACGTGATCCGTGATGTTCTCGAAATGGTGATACTGCGTGTGGAGGCAAGACGTCCGCCTCAGGAGGAGCAACCTCAGGAGGTGATGAATCCAATCCTGCAACCTCCTGGACCGCCGCCTCCAGAAGTCCGCGCAGTGAGAGTTGAAGCAGGAACGCCGAAGGTTCTAGACCCGCCTTTGAGGCTTCCTATCCCTCTCCCCAATCCGGCATTCATCAGGGTCGTGCCCGAACAACCCGTGCCAGAGGTGAACCACGAGGTACTTGCGTGCAAGGCCGAGGCCACTACGACTAAGGATTTGGAGGTTCTCTTGAGTCAGCTGCATGAGCCACTGAGTGTGATGCACACCGCCTCCCAGGAGGAGGTGAGGGCTAACCTTGAGAAGTGGAGGCCTGCCATTGAAAAGGAGCTAGGGTCTCTAAAGAAGCAGGCGTGCTCATCGTTGTTGCGGTCAGAAGGCGAAGGCGCTGATTGAGAATCCCGACACCACGGTGATTTCCTTAAAAGGGGTTTTCACAGTGAAGGCCCCAGGAGGACCTGATGATGGGTGGTTCAAGCGCAAGTGCAGATTGGTCGGGCGTGGCAACCAGGCTACACACGTGGACGCAGACTCCTTGTACGCAGCCGGAGCACCAGCGGAAGCGGTGAGAGTAGCCTTGACGCAGGCTTACCACCACAAGTGGGGAGCGTTCACCACCGACATCAAGTCGGCATTTACGCAAACGCCGATACCGCCCTATGCTGCTCAGCGTTATTTGTTGCGACCTCCCCGGTGGCTCATTGATCTTGGACTGGCGGAACCAGGGGAATACTTTTCCCTGGGAATGGTGTTGTACGGCTTCAAAGAAGCCCCGGCTTGGTGGTCGGACCATCGTGATGCGAAACTGAAGAAGGCAGTTTTTGCAGGATGTCACTTGGAGCAAGGAACAGCTGATTCGTCAGTGTGGAGAATCATGAAGGGGAAGGACCTGAAGGGTTACCTGGTGACCTACGTCGACGACTTTCTCGTGCTCAGCGAGAAAGGCACAGCAGAAGCCCTCCATCAGTGGCTGTTGAACGAAGCCGGTTGGGAGACAGATGGCCTGAGCGAAGCCAGACCCGGTCATCCAGTGAGGTTTCTTGGCATGCAGCTACATGGCTATGAGGACGGGCATTTCAGTTTGGACCAGGAGGCCTACGTTGATGAGCTGGTGCGAGCCTACAAGCTTGGCGAGGCAAATCGGTCGAAGATTGTGTGCCCCAAGGAAATCCTGATGCATGCACCGGAAACAGTGCAGCCGTTTGATGAGCAAACGGTAAAGTCAGCTCAGAAAGTGGCAGGTGAATGCCTTTGGTTGGCGCAGCGTTCGCGCATTGACATTGCGTTCGCAACAACGGTGCTGTGTTCAAAGGTTTCGAAGGATCCTCATGGAGCCATTGCGATTGGCCATCGAGTGATGGCATACCTGCATCACACCAAGGACTTCAAGCTCCACTTGAAGCCAGAACAGTTTCCTACGGTGGACACATCATCGAGGTGTCCGGCGTACCGGTGCTCTGGAAGGCATCGAAACAGCCATTGATATCTCTGAGTTCTTCAGAGGCAGAACTCATACAAGCAGTCGAGGGCTGTATGTACGCAGAGTCGCTCATGACAATCCTGTGGGATTTGGCAGTTCCATGCACGTCGGCCGAGCTTTGCCTTGATAATACGGCTTCGATAGCCTTTGTCCAAGGGGCCAGTATTCAAAGGACAAGACATCTCAAGGTGCGGGGGCACAAGATAAGGCAACTGCTCCAGTCTGGCTGGAAGGTTTCTCACTGCCCAGGTGAGTACCAAAAGGCAGATCTGTTGACCAAAGCATTACCCTCAGCACGAATGCAGTTCCTGTGTCAGCTTTTGCAACTTGGAGGTGAAGAGAGGGAGCATCAAGGGCAGGTCGACGCCGATCCGGCAGTGAGGTCTGTGGGTGCTGTGTCACCATCCTGCTTGGCCTCAATCGTTGCACTGTTGCAGTTCTGTAACTGCTGTGGTGAGCATGTGGGAGAAAACTCCGAGGAAAAGGGCCTCCCGATTGAGTGGCCTTGGGAGTTAGCATTCCTCACAGTGCTCATTGTGTTGTCTACGCTTTTCTTGTGGGAAAAAGCCTGTGGGTCACGAGTTCGGCTTAGTGGAGAGGAGCCTCAAGTTCGAGCTGTGACGGTGCACAAGGAAAGGCGAGCAAAGAAGTTACAGAGCAAGGTTGCGGCAGCAATCGATTCGGTGATGAGTGAAAGTCCTACTGGGGACGAAAATGCCCCTAAGCGGCGAGGGCGGAACAAGTGCTCCGATCCGGGTGCCACTATGAATGAAGGGTGGCAAGCCCCTTCTCCTACGGTGGTGTACGGAGGCATCACCGTGCAGATCCCGCAGGGATCATCGAGTGCCGACCGAGGTCAGCGTCCAGGGTGCAGCTCCGACGTTCCTACCACCCGAGAGGAACCATTCGGAAGAAGTCCCGAACGTGTTGCTGCAACTCGTGTGATGCACCTCGCAGAACCGAGCAGGCCTGCTGATCAACAGGGTTTTCGGTCAGGGATTCCTGCTAAAGAACCCAGTCCTTCAAGGGGTGCATGTGCTACAAAGTCCACGCAAACTGATCCTGTGATTGTTCTCGATCCTGGGGAGTACGTGTATGTTTCGGGGGGTGGTGATTGTGTTCACAGGAGTCAGGATTGCAGGGGACTACGTAGAGCCTTCAACATCAAGCCGAAGGCTGTCTGTCAGTATTGCCTGGCCCAAGCCAGGGAAGTCAGGTGAGTTTTCAGTGGAACTCATCTAGCGATGGTTCCAAGGAGAAGTGTAGAATTCCAGGTTTAACTTTTGTACAGCTGGATACATCCTCATGTCTGTAGTTGTGGCTCGAAACCAAGGTCGGCAGCTACAGTTTTCTCCAAGGCATAGCATGAGCCTTATAGTAAGGTAACAGTGCTGAAGCAGCTCAGATGTCGTCGTGAGAAAAGAGCCGTTCAATTCGATCTGTGCCATGGTTGCCTCCCTGCATTAGCCACGGATTTCGTTTTGAGGTCGCGTCGGTTACTGTCTGGGATGAGCGGTGAGCCAGAAGATGTTGAGGCTAACCCAAACCTAGAAGACCTGCCTAGTGAGACTACTCGTGAGAGCAGCAGGGCAGTTGCTACAGATGAAGTTCAACAATAATAATTTAAGGTATATTCCTTAATTAAGGCATATTGGAGTCTCTGGGTCCTGACCCAACCCTCCAGGCACCTAGTATATAGGGGCCCTAGGGGCTCTAGTACCCTAAATAGAAGGTACCTGGGGGATTAGGGTTACAGTAGAAGCCCAGTTAGGGTTTAAGGGGTTTAGGGGCCTCAAGAATGAAGGGTTTAGGGCTTAGGGTTTGAGGATCAGGGTTTCGGAGTTTAGGGTTTTGTGAAGCAAAAAGTTGAATCATGAAGAGGGAATTCCCAGCACTTAATTGTCCTTAATGCGGCTTCCAACTTTTTTGGGGCTTTTCTATAACGGGTTCTAGAAGGATCCATAGGGGCTTCAGTCTCGAAGGCTCCTACGGTTGATGATCTAAACCCTGCGTTGCCTTAAGGACCCTAAACTATGGGAACTATGGGTCTATTCCTTACTATGGGCAATGTAGGATTGATATCATCCTACACCCTAAACCCGAAGCCCTAAACCCCAATCATCAACCGTAGGACTTGCAGAAACCTCTGAGAGCTTCGGGTCATTGGAGCTTTCCGGGTAGGGCTCGCAAAGCTCAGCGTTCGGTGCGGGCGCCTTAAGAATTAGAATGGGGTTGAATAGGGGGCCCTTTAAATGGCTCTGAAAAAGGGCCTATAAGGGTTTCTATAAGGGCTACTATAAGGGTTTAATGTAGGTCGGTGCCTTCATAATTAGAATATGGTTTTGGGTATATTATGCTATAAATATAATCAGGAACCCCAAAATGATCTCTAGGTAATTATTAAGGCAATTAATAAGGGTTATAAGGTCTCTATAGTAGGTTTAGTGTTTGACGCTTAAAAGGCGTTCTGAGTCTCGGGCTCACGAATTGCGGTTTATATCGACCTGGACTCTCCAGCTACCCTCTACTAGACCCCTAAACACCCATTACTTGGGTTCAGGGTTTAGGGTGACCCCTCTTTGCGGGTACAAGGTGGGTCAGAGAACTGCCCAAATACGCCTAAACCCCCACGGAAGGCTAAACCCGCCTAAAGCAAGCGAAGCCCAAACTCTAAACCTACAACCACAAAAAAAGCAAAGGCCGTGAAACACTAAACCCTCAACCCTCAACCCTAAAACCTAAACTCTAAAACCTAAACCCTAGACCCTATAAGCCCTAAAATTCTAAAACCCTAAAGCCCTCAAAGCCCAAAGCCCCAACCCCCCGGGCCTGCGCATGATCACAGTCTCGCCTTTGAGGGTCTGACTCCGCAGCGCGTTTGCCAGTGCCGTCGCCTGGGACTCCTCCACGCCTGCGTGCTTAGGGTTTAGCTGTTTAGGGGCTAGGGGTTTAGGGGTTAAGGGGTTAGGGGTTTGGGGGTTTAGGGGCCTCCGAACATCAACCCATCAACATCAAGGAACTGTCTCAGTCTCAACCTGGGCCGCTGAACCGCAAGAATGAACCCTAAACACCTAAAAACCCCTCAACCCAACAAAAACAAGCTTTCAGCTCCGAAGTCTTTACGCTGACCCTCGTGATTCGTTGCCGACCTGCAGCGGGCCGACACCCTGCAGAAGCAAGAGGAGGGTTTAGGGTTTAGGGTTTGGGGTTTAGGGTTTGGAGTTTAGGGTTTGGGGTTTAGGGTTTGGGGTTTAGGGTTGCTACAGAGGGCCGACGGAATTCTCTTGAGCCACCGTACCTCCGCATGCTCTCTGTTGTGCATCCGGACCTGAATCCAAAGAAACACTACGATACAATGCTCTTTCTTAAGAACTTGAGCCCCCCGCCCCTGAAAACCCCAAAGCCATAACCCCGAAGTCCACCCAAATCCCAACAACACTAAATCCCCAGGCCCACTGCACCCAAACAGCCCCGCCCCACTGCCTAAGTTCTTCATACCAAGATCGAAAGCCGCTTGCTCCACGTATCCGGAGGCTTCTGGTGCGGCCAGCCAGCCTCCCAAAAGCGGGGTTTGGGGTTGAGGGTTGGAGCTGCCTCAAACTATTCAGGGCCTGCGGTACTAGGACTGAGTGACTAAGCCGCATCAGCATGAGCGTCAGCATGCATTGTGGCAGTCACTTGGGACCTGGGGCTCCATACAGTTAAGTTTATGGTTTATTAGGGTTTAGGGGATTAGGGTATAGAGCTTATAGGGTTTACGGTTTAGGGTGTAGGGTTTACGGGATTAGGGTTTAGGGCTTATAGGGTTTAAGGTTTAGGGTTTGTAGGGCTTAGGGGCAACCCTGAACCCTAAGTCCCTTGACCTGAGATTGTTGGGCCGAGGATTCGCAAGAAAGTATGAGGTTTCTTAAATGAGTTCCGGGTGCTTGATGACAGTCAAGGACCCTGCAATTTAGGGCTCTAGGAAAATGACCCTAAAGCCGCAACCCCAAACCCTAAACCCTTAGCCCCTTAAACCCTAAACTCCTAAACCCTCAAAGAGCTCCCCTTTGTTTCTGAAACTCCCACGGTTTAAAGTTTAAGAGTTTACGGGTTTAAGGTCTTAAGGGTTTAGGAGTTGGGGGTTTAGGGGTTTAGGGTTTAGGGTTTCGGGCTTGTAGGGCCTAGGATTTTGGATTGTTTAGGGTTTAGGGTCTCCGTTTCCGGGTGTACTGTAGTAGGGTTTCGGGATAACTCAGGCGGCCTGAAGTGGGCGGCGCTGTGTCCTTCAAGAAGGGGTCAGCCTCGAGTCAACTTCAACAGTTTGCTTAAGGGTTCATGTACCCATCTAGTATATACTTCCGGTGTCTTACATGGTGTAATGATTTAGGGACTGCAAGGGTAAAAAGTCTGCGCTGATGGTGACGTCATACGTACAATGTGCCGGGCAAGAGGTTCTCCTACTCATTTTCCCAGGGACTGAGGGGTAACAGGATGCCTCGCCTAAAAGCAGGAAACGCGCGACCAGTGTAACACCCTTGGCTACGTGACTACATAAGGGACCGGGTGGTACGTTCGGGACATTCTAGGACTTCTAGGACATCTCACATACAACGTTGATGTTAGATGTACTGCGCATTGGGACGTCTTACGTCCCTCTGTAACAGGCTCACTACACACACACACACACAAATACCTTGAAGTGGCCGTCTTTGCTTTAGTCCACATAAAACAAAAGCATCAGGCGGTTCAGAGCCATCCGTGGTCGTGCATGTGCATGGGCCGGTTCAACTTGCCGCTCATTTCGGTGTGCCTCGTGACTTAGTGCCAGTGCCACTTTACGGCTCAGAGCCCTCCAGCAGCTCAACGAAAACTAAGTATACATCCTTCACGCTATAGCCTAAACTAGCCCCTGACCACCTAACCCAACATGATGTGCAACTAGGCTCGACCCGCCATAAATAGCAGCCTTTATCGCACCCACCCCAGGAACCCTTGTGGTAACCCTCATATCATTCTTCACTTATTACAAACAAACCGAAAGAAACCAACCTCCGATTTCTTGCAGGCCAGGCTACCATGGCTTGGAGTTTGAAGGTACCGTCATCATTGAAATGCCGGGCCTGTGACACAGGATACCTCAAGCACAAACACGAGTGCTGACAGCTTTTCAGCTTGGGAGGTCTTAGAGTTCCGTTGCTGCAAGGGTTCTATAAGGGATGCCATGGTTCGGGTGCTAGTGTTAGGGGCTTGGGGTGGGCAGCACACGTTTTCTAGCTTCCCTTGAGATAAGTTGCCACACATGTGGCGATTCCAGGCACACACCAGCTGTGAACTCAGAAAAAGCTCTCTTCTTCTAGTTACGCACTGGTTCTGGTATAATGGCTCCAGAAAGTACTGGGGCCCAATCCCTAAACCCGTCCAGCTTCGAACCCTCAAAGCCCGCCTGTCCCGAAACCTCGTTCTAACTGGGGTTTTGGGGTTTAGGGTTCAGGGGTTGATCAACATGTGCCTGAAAAGGCTGTAGAGAAGCAGGAGCCCAAGAACAACTTCTGTCCCGACACCGGGTAGGATCAGTCGCTGCTGTTTACTTTAAAGGGTTTAGGGTGTAGGAGTCGAATAAACTAGCACCGCCCCAGTGCAATCAGGCTTGTCAGAACTCATATGCTCTGGGACAATCTCTTCTGAGTGCCCCTGGCTCCCCATTTTCTCGCACATGTAGACGAAGTGGCAGATCGTCGGTGGACTTCACCTGTGAGCGTTCAGGACAGCAACACAGCAAAGAACCATGTCAAGCTCGAGGCAGCAGCAAAGGAGGAAGAGTACTAGTACTGGTCACAAGTGCTAGTGCTGGCAATAGTAGACAACCACCAACGCCTGTGGCAGTAGTAGTAGTAGTAGTAGTAGTAGCAGTAGTTGTCGACAGCAGCAGCAGCAGCAGCAGCCGCCGCAGCAGCAGGCAGCAA